TCGAGGCTTGAATTTGCTCTCTTAACTGAGGTGGGATTAATGTTTGCAAGCACTTCCTCACTCGGAGCATGGTCCCAAAAATGGAAGAGCCCTGAAGCCATCTGGTTCCATCTAAGTGCTGTTACACAGAATCACAGAATGGTTGGAAGGGACCTCAAGGATCACGAAGCTCCAACCCCCCACCAATGCAGGGCCACCAACCTCCCCATCTCACAGCAGCCCAGGCTGCCCAGGGCCCCATCCAACCTGGCCTCCAACACCTCCACGGATGGACGGGGCATCACAGCCTCTCTGGGCAGCTGTTCCAGCCCCTCACCGCTCTCACAGCACACAGCTTCCCTTGACATCCAACCTCCAGCTGCCCTCCCTCAACTCCAAACCCTTTCCCCCTGTCCTGCTGCCATCTCCCCTTGCCAAGAGCTGACTCCCCTCCTGGCTGCAGGCTCCCTTTAGGCACTGCAGGCTGCACTGAGGTCACCCTGCAGCTTCTCTTTTCCAGGCTGAACAAGCCCAGCTCCCTCAGCCTGTCTTTGTATGGTGCCCCTACCATCTCCCTTCTCATCCACAATGCTCAGCTTTTAGCAAGAACCAGTTGGCCAATGCACACAGCATGGGGCCAGCAGCCCCATTCCAGAGCTTTGGTCCTCATTCTTCCTAAAAAGTTCTGCAAAGTTTTTGTTTTCTTCATCATTATAGCACAAACAGTGTTGGGCAATGGAAGATACGCAGGAAAGGATGGGGGGATGGCCAGACAGTGAGAGGCCTTGTGCCTTGTGTTGAGAGCCATGTGGTGCTCCTCATGCTAAGATCTGTTGGACCAGCAGGGTGTTAGACTGCTGGGCAGGAAACCCACCCACTGCTTTTTCACCCTTTAAGGAAAGGTTATTACTCTTCAAACACCAAATCTGGGATGTCCCCACCCACGTGGTTCTCCACCATCTTCCTTGTCGAGAATACGACACAAAATGGCGGCGCAACCCATGGTGGGAGCTGAGGAGTGGGGGAGGCCTCAGTGCAGCTCTTGGGACCGTGCCCTGCAGGGCCCCACACGTGGTGATGCCCTGCCTGGAGGGAAGGACTCCCCAGGGAAGATGTCCCACGTCCCTCCAAAGGCCTCCAACCGCTCCACAGCTCCCCGTGCAGCCGCACTCCGTGGCTGGGAGCACTGATGGCAGCGCCCGCCCCGCGGCTCCCAGCCCTGGCAGATGGATCAGCGCAGTGTTTCTATTTTTGCTCCACTCCTGAAGCTATTACTGATCCCTCCTAATGCCTTTGCTGCTTTCCTTCTTTTTTTTTTTTTTTTTTTTTAATCTAACACAATCATTTCTGTGCAGTCCTTTGCGCCGGTTTCTAAGGCAACACCGCTTTCCAGGATGAGCTCCTCCTTGCCAGCGTCTCCAACCAACATCATCTCTAATTAAGCATCATTACCAATAACAGCTGGTGATCAGGCTGACCGGCCCCATCCCTCACACACTGCTGCCAGGCACACTTGCAGGGCCGTGAGCTCACACACCTGCTGGGACCCCCACGCTTTCACCACGCAGGCAGGACCTGTAGTGTGCCCTGGTGCTCACACCCCTCATTTATCCCCCATGAAACCTGTCTGAGAGATACAAGGGTGAAGCAGAACGCTCAGCATCCAGCCATCACAGCTTTGAACCACAAGGCGTGGAGCCATGCTCAGCGCAGGCTGACTGCTTCCAGGGCAGGACGCCCACAGCCCAAATCCCACTCGGAACAGAACACGACAGCGAGGCTGGGAGGAGTCTTCAAACATCACAGAACGGCCTGGGTTGAAAAGGACCACAATGATCATCTGGTTTCGACCCCCCCCAGCATCATCCACACAACTGCAGTTTACTTTGGAGCTTGCATACGGAACCATCGCATGGTTTGGGTCGGAAGGGACCCTTAAAGGCCACCTGGTCCCACTCCATGCAGTGCACAGGGGCACCTGCAGCCCCATCGGTGCTCAGAGCCCACCCCCTGCCCTTGGGTGCCTGCAGGGACACAACCTTACAGGAGCACATCCCCATAGGAACACCTTTGGAGCTACAAACTGAGAAACAGCACACAGAGGGGCCTCTGGATCCCTAGCAGCCTGCTACATTGCCTTCTATATCCACCTCTTCATTAACACTGGAACTGATATCCCCATGAACAGAACTGAATACACACCGGTGCTTTTTGGAGGAAAAGGAGATAAGAGCAAAGTTCTCTTGTTGCTTCATAAACACGTTTAGGGCTGACAGGAGAACTGGCTGGTGCCATTGCCTTGCTTCCACCTTCTACAACTACCTGGGATAATCAGCAAATCATCAAACACAGCCCATGGCCCCACAGGGGAGCACAACCCATGGCTTCATTAACGTGGTGTGATGTTATCCTGATAGTTAAGCAAGCACCGTTACAGAGCAGCTCTGCTGTTAAGGACACGTCCCCAAGCACAGAGGTGGCAGCCCAGCGCGTTCCGTTCCTCGTTAGGACAAACCCAATTACAGCCTGGGGTCCCACAGGAGAACTGCAGCCACTGTAGGGATGAGGGGTGACTGTGGAAGCACTGAACTCTGATCATCTGCCCCCAACATCCAAGGGCACAAAGCAGTTTTGCAGAAGAATCCGGGGCAACAACAAAAACGAGAAGCCGAAACAGATGCAAAAGATGCACAACAGATCAAATTCAAACTGCACGAACAGAGCTACATCCTGATGTTTCCTCACTTTAAATCGCTGTTGAAATTAAAAAATATTTTAAAAAAAATATACAGAAGTTTGTAGGGAGAGTTGATCCACGACACACAACTTCATCAGCAAGAAATCTGCAGCATCACTGTTGCCATGGCTCCCCAGGGAGCCGTATCACCGAGCCCAGACCTATTTTAGCAGTTCATGCAGGAGCTGATGCATTTTGGAGCGCCGTCCTGTTATTCTAGAACACAGTGTGAGACTTCAGCCTGTCTCTGAAGAGATTTCAGTTACCAAACCTCAGCAGAAGATTGTCCAGAATATCCACATTATTCTGGTCACGCATCACTGATCGCCCCCTGGAGCAACAAAGCAGCTCCCGTGTGCAGATGGTCCAACTCAGGATGTGTTATTCTATGATTCTCTGTTAGATGTTGCCAAGTGTCAGCTTCACAGTCCCACCTAACACACAGAGTGCTGCCCATGGTCTGCTGAGTATCTTAACAGGAGAACGAAGCAGCAGGTAGAAGGCAAGCACTACCCAAGTAAAACCCACAGCCCCATCATCAACCACGGCCCCACTGGTGAGTACAAGCCTTGGCTCCATCACCAACCACATCCCATGGCCCCACCATCAAGCACAACCCATGGCCCCATTGCTGAGTACAATCCCTGACCCCATCAGCATGTACAGCCCACGGCCCATCAGTCTCACGAGTGTTTGGACAACCACACCATCTCTTGGCTCTCTTCAACTCCTCCTCTATCCAGCAAAGCAGCACATACGTTCATGGTCTTGAATCTCAACACTTTCCCTTCCCTGATTTCCATTTCTGACTTGCATTCAAGTGATGCATGCCCTCACTCATCCTCTGATGCAGCCTAAGGCAATCTACACCCCTTATACTCCACGTGGGGACTCAGCCCAGGCATCGCTGCCCTGTTGCCACTCACTGAGCAGCAGCAGAAGGAAATGGAAGAGCCCCTGCTGCACCACCTGCATTTACCTGATGTGCTCCTCCAGTTCCTTTTTTGCATGGGTCTCCTACCAGGACACCACCCCCTTCAACACAGCCATTAGCAAGGAAAATAACAACTTCCAGCAGATGATGGAAAGGTTAGACACACACACATATCTCTATAAAAAGGATGACGCTGTCTTTAGCTTTCCCATTTTGTAGCATCATGCACCAAAGAACATTACTTCTGCAGGCACAAGTTCATGCAGAGAACACCACTTCCACCAAAATAGAACTACTTTGGGTTATGCAACGCTCATTAAAATTACAGAACCTCTCCACAACCTGACCAGCATGTTAAGGCGCACTCGAGCTCGACGGTTGTTAAGTTAGTGACTGCATCATGCAAACTGGCAGCGAGGAACTCTGCAGGAACAGACCCAACTTCCACGCCTGATGACAAGGCAGAAGGATTGGGGATGAGGCACCCGACCTCTGCGATCCCCAGACACCAATTTCTCCCGAGGAAGGCTCGGGCTGAGCAGAAAACCCAGGGTGTTATTTGACACACCATCTGTATCGTGACTACAGTCTCCGTTGTGAAGTTCCCAGGAACTTCCTTTCACTCTGTGAAATTAATGCCATCTGTTCCTTGGTCAGCAGCCAGGCAAACAGCACCAACCCCTCCAGTCCATCCTCAGCGGAGAGTCCCAAAGCCCATCAGCGCGGGGTTCTGCTGTTCTGCTCTGCTCCAGCACAGTGGTTGCTCTGGCAGGAGGTGCTTTGGACAGAGATGCTCGAGGCGCCTTCAGGCAAAGCCACAGACCAGCTGCAGGAGGGGAGCAGATGGCTGCGCTTGGCCCGGAGGGGCATTAAAACCAAACCCCATAACGTGACAGCGACAGGGAACGTTCCCTGCCGTGGGAATGTGCAGCTCCTGCCCTTTGGTGGCACCGATGCTGCGCAGTGACGGCGCCGGTTCACTGCAGCATCCCACACGGATGCCACTTTTGGTCTCCGGTGAGGAGAAGCTAATGGAACTTAACACCGAGAAGTGCAAGTTTGCTTCAAAATTCAGAGTGCTACAAAATTTATACGGAAAAATCAACTCGGAACAAATTAAAAAATCATCGAGTTCTGGAACTCAGACCAGACTGTGAATCTTTTAAGGTTTGGGAATTAGCACTGTGCGCCAGGCAAGCAGAACCAGCAGCCTTTTAGGATCAGCCAACACACCGCTCATGCCCCGCTCGCTGGTGCCACCGAGGATTAAGGTGACGTGGTCATGCTGCCGAGCAGCGATGCTCGCACGCAAGCTCCAGGTTTTGCTGCCAGCCCATCACACGCACACACCTTTGCCTTGCCTGGGCCGGCTCACAGCGCTGCCTCTCAGCTGCCTCTGCTTCTCCCCATCCGGAGCAGCGGGCCGGGCCGGCAGCGCGGGCTGCCCTCTGGCCTTGGTGGGTCTCATGTAGCCCTTCAGCTGCTCCGCACCTTTCGCTCGCTCTTTCTTTGCCTCTGGGGCAGCTCTTGGGTCAGGTTCTTCTTGTTCCTGAGCAGGGCGGGCTGCTCCAGCATCGCCTTCTGTGGTTCGGCGCTGAACGTCGCCGCCATCCTCGGGGTGGGTGTGGGATGTTGGGGCAGCAGTCGGATCCACAGCAGGCGCCTCCGCTTCAGCTCCCCACCCAGGCGGATGCTGGCCGCTCTCCATGGCTGCACCCACGCCGTTCCCCCCGCTGTCCTTCCCCATCAGCCCTTCCACTGCAGCCTGCAATGCTTTGTTCCCAACTGCCATGGGACCCTTCTCCCCAGAGGGGACCCCTCCTTCTTCCCCCACCCCTCGGGCACCGCCGGGTGCCGGGCAGTGCTGTGCATCCACCTCCTCCCGGGGAAGGGCAGAGGCAGTGCTGGCACCGCTTTGCTTTTTATCAGTCCCTTTATCATCCGCCTTCGCCACAGGAGAAAGCAGAACTTCATCCTTTCTTGACTGAACGCCTCGCTGTGCTGAACGAGCTGAAGAAAGCGGTGCATCTGCCTCCAACCCGCACTGGGCAGCGGGCTCTTTGGCTCCATCCTCCCCTTTCTTTGGCCCCTCTTTCCCAGGCTCTTCGTGCCCCACACCCATGGGTTGCACAGGCTGTGTTTGGCTGCACACCTCCTTCCCATCGCCGGATCCGGGCTCCTTGCTGCTCTCCTCCACTGCCACTCCAGCTGAAGGCAGCCTCCCATGTGCCCCCCAGGCCAAGGACTCCACGTGGTTTCCCTGATTATCCCAAAGCGTTTGAGGGCCGATGGGGAAACTAATATTTCTGTTCTCATCTACAAAGCCCATTTCTTCCATCCCAGACTCCATCTCAGGCCCCACGGGTGGCTGCTCAGGGCCAGCCTTAGGCTTTTTACCTCCTCCCTCGCTACCTCTCTTTTTAGATCTCTTGGATGAGCTGCGATCCACCTCTGCAGGAGGCTCTGCACCAGGAAGGCTGATTGCCCTGCTGCCAGGGGGAGGACACAACTCTGCTCCTGTGCTGGGCTCCAGGAGGAGCTCTGGGCCAACCTCTGCCCCTTGGCATCTCTCTTTATCCCTTGTCCTCAGCTTCTCTGGCTCCAGAGGTACAGCAGCAGCTTGTGCTTTAGTAGCATCACTTGTGTCACCTGGCAGACCTACTGAAGCACTGAAATTGTTCTCTTTAGGCTGAACTTGTTGAGCATTTCCCACCTCTCCACCCACGGCAGGGATAATATCCAGTCCTGGTGCTACAGACTGCCCACGGCCGCCCTCAGCCTCTCTGCCTTTCGTCCCTCTGCCTTTTTCCTCAGGTCTGTCTGCCTCCATCTCCGTGGTGGGACCACGTGCCATCACTGTGTCTGCCCTGTGCTCTGCTGGATGGACATCTGTCTCCTTGCACTTAGCATTGCACCACGTTTCATTAGCATCGCCTATTTCTGGCTCTGTTTTATGGCCTGGAAGAACTGGCTGATGAGAGAAACTTCGACCCTCTCCTTCGGGCTTTTCCAGCACCTCCTTTGCTACAGCTGTCACGTGCTCCAGCAAAACCCCTCTTTCAGAACCAGGCACCTTCTCTTTCCCAGAGGCCATTGCCTTCATTTCCCCAGTGCCCTTCTCTTTGCTTGGAACAGCTCCCACCCCAGTGTCCAGGACAGCCGTCAGCCCAGAAGGACCTTTCTCACTCCTTTTCCTTTTCCCATCACTACACCTTTTCCTACGTTTGTCTGCATCAGAACCCACCCCAACCCATCCACCTGGAGAAGCATCTCCAGCCTCTCTGCCCTCACCCACAACATTGACCTCCTTTGTTTTGCTGACGGTGTCAGCCACGGCGAGATGCTTTGTATCATCTCTCCTACCCGCTGGAAGGAACTGTTGGCCCAAAGCCCCCAGCTCAGCCATCTCACATTTCCCAGCATTTTCTCTGGGCTCCTCTGTTACTCCCTCAATGGGCCTTTGTGCTGCAGTTACATCCAACGTGTCCTCCTGGAAGCACACAGCAGTGACACAGCCCTTCTCATGGCTGACCTCCTCAGCTGTGCCAGCTCTGTCAGGAGAGCTATTAAGGCCCATCTTACTCTCCACAAAAGGCTGCTGGAAAAAGCTTTTTTCTCCTCTTTTACTCCTCCCATCGTTACCTCTCTTTTTGGGCTTGTCTGCCCAGTGTCCCCTGGCAGAATAACCTCCCTTCCTGCCTCTATCAGGGAAAGGCCTTTCCCTCATCACCTCCCCCATCCTCACTCCATCAGTGCCCGCATCCTCCAGACCCTCAGAGAAACCTCTCACTTTTCTGCCTTTCCCTTCACTGCGCTTTTTTTTAGGTCTGTCCATCCCGTGTGCAACGCCGAGGTCTCTTCCAGTCTGCTGCTCCTCTGCAATAAACCCATTCCCTTTGTTTCTGTCAGGGGAATACGCTGCTGTACCTCCGCGTGCTGCCTCAGCAGGAGCAGCTCTGCCTTCCATTTGAGCTGGCTGCTCAGAACCATCAGCCTTCCTGTTCTGCACAGCAGAGCCTTCCTCGGGGTTCTGAGCCATTAATGGTGTAACAGACACTTTGGTGGCATCTGCTGGGCTCTTCAGTACTCCCTCACAAGAACTTAAGCCAACGGCCTCGCGCTCACTGGGGGATGCCAGCTTAGCTCCATCTGCTGCCCTTGGCTTGTTGGGAAGCTGGGTGGATGGGGCTGGAGGAGGTGCCTGGAAGGATCCATTGCTCAGCTCTTTGTTTTGCTCACCACTCTCCTGCGCTGCTTCTCCCAGTGACCCATTGGAAGCCTGAAGCTCGCGGCTGGTGTCACTGGGTGCTCTGTGCCTGGGAGGTACACCCTTAGCATCCTTACCTTTATCAGAAGGGAGAATTTGGGAAGGTTTGATCTCTGAAGGAGTTTCTACCTTGCTTATATCGATGGCTGCTGAAGGAGACACCTTCAGCTCAGCCCACGCTGGCTCCCCACCCTCCCTCTTCCCATCTCTATCAGGAAATCTTCCCACAGATGTGGCTGGCACCTCTGCTGCTATGGGCTCCCCCACCTCAGCCTCTCCTCTCTGCTCTGAGGGCACCTTTCCTTTCCCTTCGCACTGCACCATCGAGCTGTCAGCTCTCATTTCCTCTGCTCTCGTGATGTCTCTATTTTTCTCATCCAGCACTGATTTGAATGGTGCGCTGCTCTTGGTGCCCTGCCGGCCCGGCGCTGGCACAACACGGCCCTTTGGATCATCCAGGATGTGACTCCCAGTCATCACTGCAGCATCCTTTGGCACATCTGAAGCTCTGTTTCCTGAGGCAACCAACAGCTCTGCATGCACGCTGGGCCCAACGGCTGCTTTTTGCACCTCAACAGCCAACGGAGAACTCTTAGGAGCTCTGCAGACCGCCATGTTTTCATCCCAGAACTCCACGGCTCTTGGCAGATGGTTCCTCCTTTGCTTCGGTTTCTTTTTCTTCTTCTTGCCCATGGCCAGAGCTCCTTCCATATCCCAGCTCTCCCGCGGCGCATCTCTGCAGCTCTGCCTGAGCTCTGGGAGAGGCTCTGCCACCCTCCTGGCTGCAGCCGTGCCGTGCAGGGCAGCTCCGGCAGCGCATGGCAGCTCTGCAGCACAGCGCTGCTCTGCTCCAGGCTCAGAGCTCTTCTGCTGCGGGGGACCTACGGGGCGCTCCTCTGCTCCATCTGCAGTGGGCAGCAGGGCAGGCTGCGCTCGGCCAACCCCGCGTCCACTCGGTTTGTTAGCTTGCCTCATTTGTGCAGGAGGCGGACCTGGAATACAGGAAGCCTGCTCAAACATCAAAGCGACCATTGGCTGCAATCAAATACAGAGGTACAGTTGCAAACGTGACTTCAGCTCTCCAGCAGGAGGTCAAAGTCCTCGGTGGGGCTGGGAAAGGCGTCTCTACACAGCAAACAGTTTAAACTGTTAGCGATAAACTCGTCGGTGCTGTTTAGAAATGCACAACTGCCAATATGTGCTCTGACCCCACTGAAGAGCACTGGTTCCTGTAAGGACACCTCATCTCTCGCTAGGACTGCATTAAGGACCTGCGTTGTCTCAACAACATCACAGATAGGCTTCTTATCTCTCTTACGGGCAGCCTTCCATCATGTAAAAATAGAGCTTTGGAGGGAAGAGGAGCCTGGGGGGGAGGGCAGCAAGGAGCTACGGCCCCAGCACCCACAGAGCGAGCAGAAGTCATCTGCTGTGCTCAGCTCTAAGCAGCACCGGGTCTCCTTAGCTACCGCTTCAAGGGAGCATCCATCATCTGCCAGCGAGCCCTGGGCCACAAATCAGCCTCCAGCCACACGTGCAAGCAGTGACGGCTCACTGGAGGGGCTGCGTTAGTGGAGCAGGGAAAAAAATCACCTTCTCCTTTGGTTAATTATAAAATCCAATTTGGAAGGAGGTCTTCGCTGGGAGTACTGCAATAAGAATTAATGGTTCGTTTAATGCCAAAAAAAAACAACCCTAAAAATAAAATGGTGGTCATGGCAAAAAGATGGCGAGTTCCTGTACTCTACAACTGATACAAGACAGTGGTGGTGATAAATCAATAGCAGCAGCCACACGTGGGCTTTTGGTGCCATGAACAAGGAGGGGAAAAGAGAGGGAGCACAGCAAACAGAGGCAGAGTGCAAGCAGAACCTCTGAGGGATGCAAAGAACCTCACAGCTCATTGGTGCAAAACCTTTTTTGCTTGCTCAGGTGGCAGAGCAGTCAGCAGGAAAAGGTGAGCGGCTCCCAGAGGACATTTCCTTCCTAAAAGCAAAGTGCTGTTTATGTTCTACCTGCAGGCTCTCGCAGGGCTGCTTCTTGCGGGGGCTCCGTGTGCTGGATGTGGTTCTGCTCAGCCTCCTCCTTCCGTTGCTCCATTGCAGGCACATCCACAGCAGTGACACTCTGCTCTGAAGGGAGCTCTTTGTTTTCTAGTGCTGTGTCTTCTTTTGTTTCTACTGGAACTGAAATTGAAAAGAAAAATTGAAATACAAAAAACACACGACCAGAATATTTCAGCCTTAGTGAATACAGAAACCATCAGCTCAAAAAAAGCTGCTGGGAAGGGTTTGGGTTCTACTTCACTTTTAGCAGGGATGAAGATGATAAGGTCTGATAGCTGACCATGTATTATCTCCCCACGATCCCATGTCAAGAAGCAGTTTTATATTTTGGCTGATGGGCCAAGGGAGAGGTAAAGTGTGGAGCAAAGGCCACTGTGGTGCTCACAGACACAGGGTGAGATTGTTAATCAAAAAGTAGTAACAACATACACAAAAACTAAGAAAAAATCAACTCAATTTGGACTCAATGCCCTCTCGACTGTAGAACAGACTGACAACGTGCTCCATCACCAGCACGGCATCCCCACCCAATGCCACCATCCAGTGTTTGTGTGACACCAAGCTGAGCAGCGTGGATGAAATAATGGAAGGAAGGGATGCCGTGCAGAGGGACCTCGAGAGGCTGGAAAGGTGGGAACAGGTGAACCTGATGAGGTTCAACACAGCAAAGGGCAGAGTTTTGCTCTTGGGCCGGAGGAATCCCAGGCATCCGTACAGAATGGAAGGAGCGGTGCTTGAGAGCAGCCCTGTGGAGAAGGACCTGGGGGTCCTGATGGATGAAAAGTTGAATGTGAGCCAGCAGGGTGCTCTTGTAGCTTGGAAAGCCAATGGTATCCTGGGCTCCATCAGCACAGGGGTGGCAGCAGGGACAGGGAGGTGATTGTCCCTCTCTGCTCTTGTGAGGCCCCACCTGCAGTGCTGTGTCCAGGGCTGGAGCCCTCAGAACAAGAAAGACAGGGAGCTGTTGGAGAGGGTCCAGAGGAGCCATAAAGATGCTCAGAGGGCTGCAGCACCTCCCT